TGTCTTTTGCTGTAGTGTGTCAGTAGGAAATATCAGTTTACATTTCCAAACATTCATTTTGCCATTAATTGTAATCATTTTGTGAGATTTTTGTCTGACAACAGCCTGTGCTCCAAACAGAGATATGATCTGATCATAATCCAGTCTGTCTGTGATTATGTGAAGAAACAGAACAAACTGAGACCAACTAAATCCAGAAGAACTGTGGAGACGTCTCCAAGACGCTTCAAGAAACCTTCCTGCAAAGCTACAGTACTATTAAAAGTTGTAGGCACTTGTGTAAAAATGCTGTAAAATGAGGATGCTGTCAAAAATAATGTCATAAATAGATTTTCTTTATCAATATATAAATTTTATTTTTCAATTAACTTCTGTTAACTAAATGAAATCAACATTTGGTGTAAGCATCCTTTGCATTTAAAGCAGCTTTTGCCCTCGGTGCACTTGCACATAGTTTCTCAGGGAGCTTTGCAGGTAGCTTTCTTGAAGCGTCTTGGAGACACAGTTCTTCTGGATTGAGTCTGTCTCAGTTTGTTCGGTTTCTTCATGTCATTCCAGACAGACTGCTGATGATCAGATCAGATCTCTCTGTGGAGCACTGGCTGTTGTCAGACTCATTGATTATTACAATTAATGGCAAAATGAATGTTTGGAAATGTAAACTGAATAAATAACTGACTTAAAACCATTTTTTAGCTGGTGAAAATAGTGTTCTAATCATTTTGGACACCACTGCATATGGAGCCCACAGGAGTCAGCAGAATATTGTGGATTAAAGGGGTCATATGATGCGATTTCAAGTTTTCCTTTCTCTTTGGAGTGTTACAAGCTCTTGGTGCATAAAGAAGATTTGTAAAGTTGCAAAGACCAAAGTCTCAAATCCAAAGAGATATTCTTTATAAAAGTTAAGAGTCAACCACGCCTCAAGAAACATTTCTGATTATTATCAATGCTGAAAACAGTTGAATTGCTTCATATTGTTGTGGAAAGTGTGATACATTTTATTTTTCAGGATTCTTTGATGAATAGAAAATTTAAAAGAACAGCATTTATTTGAAATAGAAATCTTCTGTAACATTATAAATGTCTTTACTGTCACTTTTGATCAATTTAATGCATCCTTTCCTCACATGTACCTTATAGAGGATGACCTGACCCTCCTGAGGGTTTCCTGGAGTTAAAAACTTCTCCTGTGTTTCCTCATGAATCTCATCATTACCAGGAGCAAGATCTGAACACAGAATATTTATCTCAGACACACATACAGCTAATCTACTGCTGTGAAAACATACCAGATCAACACAAATATAACAGCACTATCATGCATTCAAAGCTCTTTTAAACTCTAAATAAGTCTAACGTGCACATTCATATTCCTCACCCAATATTCCCATGTCATATTTTCCCTCTTTTTTGTCCTTGTTGATCAGGTAGTCAAAGTTATCGGTGAAGTACTGGAACAGAGAGTTCTGCTGATGGACCTCCAAACCCAAAATACGGTTCAGAAACTTAGTGATGGTGCAGTCTGGGATGCAGGACAGAAAAAGGCAATTAGCCACTTGGTCGGATGCAAATTAGTTGCATTTCATTTACTTAAATCCAAAAAACATTTCTGCATGTAAATGTGATGCAACTGTCAGTTAAAGCACTTCACTGACAGGTATTACATAAGTAACACAAAACCAGAACAAATGTGCATTATCCAACAATGTTGTCAGTGTATTTTGAATTTAACACACTTCTATAAAGTCAGGTTTGAATTATGCATGATCAATAATATCAAAATGTCCACAAATATTATATATATATATATATGTGTGTGTGTGTGACCCTGGACCACAAAATCAGTCATAAGGGTCAATTTTTTTAAATTGAGATTTATACATCCTCTGAAAGCTGAATAAATAAGCTTTTCATTGATGTACAATGTATTGTTGGCTATTGCTACAAATATACCCCAGTGACTTAAGAATGGTTTTGTGCTCCAAAACTGCAAACTGGATTTACTCTCCCTGCTTGGCTGATGAACTTTGGCAAATTGGATTCACTTTACTGTTCAGCTGGCGTACTTTTGTTGTTGCCGCTGGGAACTCCCGGTTGTCAGCCTGCTGCGAAGCCCTCTCTCACCTCTCAATTCTACATCTATCGGACTGACTGTGAGGTGAGTTAACACTCTTCTTACTAGTCTTTCTAATGGCTTGCTGTCTGGTTGGGTAGCTTTCCTAAGCTTTTATAGATGTTGGGATGGTTGTGGTTCTGGCTAACACGGCGTTGCTGATAGCCGGTTTTCTCATGGCTATCACCAACATGTCAAAAGCTTTGGTACTTGCGCTGTCTCTGGTTCTCTTTACTATTATTGGACTACCTTCCAACATGGAATTTGGATACCTGTGTAGTGAACTCAGGGCGCTCAATGGGCACCCACGCCTTGACTCTGTGATGTACGAGCACTGCCGCTCGCTTGGGATTATCCGACGTACGCGTTACATACATCGCTCAGTCAGAAGGATTTTTAACATTCAGCAGCTAAACTCTTCAGTTATTCTGTGCATCTGGACGTTGGTCAAATCAAAACGTCTACCAAGAGACTGTCATCCAATGCGAACGCTTGTCTACATAAAAAAGTCAGCCTCAAATGTCAACTTTACTGGCAACATAGGAGTACTGCATAACCACTTTGCTCTGTTGAACTGTCGCTCCATCTCGGACAAGGGGCCCTACCTAAGCGAACTAATTACGGATACAGACTTGGACATGTTATTTCTTATCGAGACTTGGCAAACACCTAATGATTTCATCTATCTTAATCTTCTTACACCGAACGGCTATCAGTACTTGTCTAAGTCACGTCTATCTGGGAAAGGAGGTGGCCTTGCGGTCATTCGTCGTAACTCCATAACACAAACTCAGATGGATTTTAACTGTACTAAGACTTTTGAATACATGGCTTTGAAGGTCGGCTCAAACTGTCCCCTCACAATTATTCTGATTTATAGACCACCCAAACAGCAAAACGACTTTTTCTCAGAACTCTGCGAACTACTAACACTTGCTTGTGCTTCATCAGCCCAGGTCATCTTACTTGGTGACTTTAACATCCATGTTGATACACCCTGTTTTAATAGTACTCAGCTAAAGACTGTTCTGGACTGTTTCGATCTTTATCAGAATGTCAACTTCTCTACTCACACTCATGGTCATACGCTTGACTTAGTCTGTACATCAGGCTTAAATCATATTTCTATCAGTGGTCTGGCTACTCCAATTTCTGATCATAAGCTTATTACGTTTGACTTTACACTAACTTGCCCAACTAAATGCATTGAAAACAAAACCACTTTCTTATCGTAAGTTCAGTGCTATCAATGTTGATATACTTACCTCTACTTGCCTCTATTGCTTCATCTGTTATTTCTGATGTATTCAATTTTAATTATCCATCCAAGATATATGATTTGTATCACTCTGCTATTGCTGATGTTTTAGATGAGCATGCTCCAACTAGGACTAGGTCTGATCCCCTGCTCCTCTCCATGGTATAACAATGAGCTACGTGATATGAAAGCCAAAGGCAGACAACTTGAACGCCTTTTTAGGAAAACAGGTTTAACTGTACACTTTCAGGCATTTTCAGATCATGTTAAGCACTATAAAACTGCCTTGAATGCTGCTCACTCTTCACTATATTTCCAAAACTATCAACATAACAAACAATAAGCCTAAATCAGCAGTTCAGGCTGCTATACATAATGCCTCTCTACGATAATCTGACGACTTATGCTGTTCTTTTTTACGCTATTTTCAGGGTAAGCTTGACGCTTTATGTGGGACATTTGGTGCAGAACCAACTACTTCTACTTGTGAGCTAACTCGGCCTATTCAAATGCTCGATAGCTTCTCCTTGACAAACCCCACCCTAATTAATGAAATAATACTGAAATCCAATTCTTCTTCATGCTGTGTTGACCCTGCACCAACATTCCTTTTGAAACACTGTACCTCTGTTATTTCTGGTCCTATCTTACATCTTGTAAACATGTCTCTTATCTCTGCCACTGTTGCAGTATCACTCAAAACTGCTGCTGTTACTCCTATTCTCAAAAAGCCAACTCTGGACCCAGCTGACTACACTACTTAACGCCCAATTTCCAACCTACCGTTTGTTTCAAAAATCATGGAAAAAGTCGTTGCCACTCAGTTGCAGTCATTTCTAGCTTGCAATAAACACTTTGATATATTTCAGTCAGGTTTTCGTTCACAACACAGTACTGAAACTGCTCTAGTAAGCAGTATAAATGACCTCCTTCTTTCTGGTGATTCGGGCAACCTTTCCATACTCTTATTACTCGACCTTAGCTCAGCTTTTGACACTGTCTGTCATAAGCTACTACTCATGCGCCTCTTAGAGATTGGCATCTCAGGAGCTGGGTTAGCCTGGTTTTCCTCCTATTTAACGGACAGACAATACTTCATAACAACAAATATCCCACTGTCCCTATTAAACAGGGTGTGCCACAGGGCTCAGTTCTAGGGCCATTATTATTTATCATTTATATTATGCCCCTCGGACAAATTATTCGCTGCCATGGTTTTCAGTACCACTGCTATGCCGATGATATTCAGATATATACTTCTTGCCGACCTGACTCTATTCACCAGACCGCTACTCTATTGTCATGTGGCAATGAGTTAAAAACCTGGCTTAGCTCCAACTCTCTCAGTTTGAATTTGACAAAAACAGAAATTTTACTTGTCGGTCCCCCAACTGTAACAAAAAACATAACTAATCCCCCTAGAATTGACCTTGAAGCTACATCAATTTTTCCAACTGCCACCGTCAAAAACTTAGGTATCACTCTAGACTTTTTACTAAACCTAGATGCTTATATTAGTAAACTCTCCAAAGCTGCATTTTTTTCAACTTCAGCATATTGCCAAACTCCGTTCCTTCATGAGCCCAAAAGATGCTGAATCACTAGTACATGCATTTATCACATCTCTCCTTGACTACTGTAACGCTCTTTTTTCTGGATTACCAGTACGCTCCATCTCCCATTTGCAATATATTCAAAATTCTGCTGCAAGAATGTTAACATACACTAAACGGTCTGCTCATATCACCCATATTCTATTTAACCTCCACTGGCTACCTGTGTCCGCTTGTATCACTTATAAAATTCTTCTACTTACCTTTAAGTCACTCCTCGGTCTTGCACCTACTTATCTCTCTGACCTACTTTCTCCATATATTCCCTCTCGTCTACTTCGATCATCTGGAGGGGAACTTCTTTGTGTTCCAAGATCTCACCTTTCATCTATGGGAGGGAGATCTTTCTCTGTTATGGCTCCTAAACTTTGGAACTCATTGCCCCTGTGTCTTCGGTTAATAACCACACTGCACGAATTTAAGTCTAAACTCAAAACCTATCTGTTCAACCAATATTACCAGTCATTATATGTTTCTTCTTAAACTGTTATGGTTTAATGCTGTATCTGACTGTTTGCTGTATCTGGCTGTCTGTATTATTACTATGGTTTGCAACAGCAACCACATGTCCTGGACTTGGCAAATGTCTACTGTCCATCTATGTATGTATTGCTTTTGTCATTGTGAAGCGTCCTTGAGCTTGGGAAAGGCGCTATACAAATTAAACTTATTATTATACATATATACATATATATACATATATCACTAATAAATTGCTCAATTAAAGGTATGGCTGCATTAATCATACGCAATACAGATGAGTAGTGAATCAGCCTTTATAATCAGATCCTTGTGTTATTGTTGTATTACATTCACCTTTCTCTGTATTCAGACTCAGACGCGGCTCCTTACAGAAGATTCCCACATCAATCATGCCTTTCTTCATATCTGAAACACATATGAATGTTAAATCAGTACACACAAACATTACACTGTCATGTTCATCTGCATGTGCTCGAACAAAGTGTCTCTTGCTGCGTCCCGATTGACAAACAAATCAAAATAGTAAGCAATACTAGGATTAGTGTATCCAAAATCACAGTTTGCAGACTTTGCATGGATTTACTTTAGTACCACTATTGGAGTATAGTATTTTAGTAGAAATTACACTAAATAGCACTATTAGATATATTTATTAAATATATGTAATTACATTAGGCATATTTTAACAAAGGTACACTACTGCTAAAAAGTATGGGGTCGGTAAATTTTTTTTAATGTTTTTTTTTTTTTTTTAAAGAAGTATCTTCTGCTTACAGAGGCTGCATTTATTTGATCAAAAATACAGTAGAAATTGTGAAATGTTATTGCAATTTAAAATAGCTGTTATTTATGTGAATATATGTGACCCTGGAGCACAAAAGCAGTCTTAAGTCGCTGGGGTATATTTGTAGCAATAGCCAACAATACATTGTATGGGTCAAAATTATTGATTTTTCTTTTATGCCAAAAATCATTAGGATATTAAGTAAAGATCATGTTCCATGAAGATATTTTGTAAATTTCCTACCGTAAATATATCAAAACTTAATTTTTGGTTAGTAATATGCATTGCTAAGAACTTCATTTGGAATAAATTTAAAGGCGATTTTCTCACTATTTTGATTTTTTTGTACCCTCAGATTCCAGATTTTCAAATAGTTGTATCTCGACCAAATATTGTCCTATCATAACAAACCATACATCAATGGAAACCTTATTTATTCAGTTTTCAGATGATGTATAAATCTCAATTTTGAAAATTTGACACTTAATTTTTGGGTTTTGTGGTCCAGGGTCACATGTTAAAATGTCATTTGTAATGTAATTTCAGAATCAGAATCAGAATCAGAAGAGCATTATTACCAAGTATGTTTACACACACAAGGAATTTGACTTGACGACAGGAGCTTCCAGTGTAGAAGAAAGTACAAACATAGTGCAGACATACATGATAGTGCAGACATACATAGGAATAACACAGTAGGGATGTAATATAACACTAATATAATAAAAAAAAGAAAAATTGAATAATGTACTATATACAGAAATAGAAGTATAGGAAAAAATTTAATTGTTTAGATAAATGTACAGATATGTTTATTAGTGAGCAGATATGTTATTTAAGAAGAATCGCGGAGCTCAGCGTCCTGGCTGCCATTTGCGGCACCATCATGAATAGTGAATTTAAAATGCAATTTAATTTATTACACTTTTGATCAAACTTGATCAATAAACAGATGACATTACCTCTGAAGAACATGATGTCTCCTCCTGGGTAGCCCTTCGGTGGAGGGACTTTGTTGTCGATGTGCCCGAGGATGGCTTTAGTGATCTTATCCAACGCTTTGGTGCCGTACTAAGACAGACAGAGGGGAAAAAATTGTTAAATTCCTTTTCATGTTGTATTTGTGGGTCTGAACTGTGGTATATTTGCAATATGGGAATCGGCATGAAAAGATTTCATCCAACTGTGAACCATATTGCAGTTCATACATTTCTTCCAAGTTTAGAAAACATCAACCAACCAAACAAATCAAAGTCTTAAGTCAAATGAGGTTATGTCTAGTCCAATGTGTTGTTATTGTTAACTAAAACTATTAAACTATTAAATAAGCTTAAAACTATTGAACTTTTTTTTCAGAAATTGAAATAAAGCTAAATAATAATACTAATAATAATAATAATAATGAAAAACTGAAATAAAACTTAAAAAAATACAAATAAAAAATGAACTTGAGTAAGTTCTAAAATAATACAAATAATGAATTAATATAAACAAAATTTTTTAAATAAATAAAAATGATAAAAGGACAAAAAATTACTAAAACAATCTAAAATTAAAACAAAACCTGAAAATATAAAAATAAAAGCCAATTCAAAATATTAATAAACACTATAATAGTAGATATATAACACTAAAACAACACCCTAATAAAGCCAGATGGTAGAACAGAGAATAGTCTATTATATTTTGGCTGATAAAGGAGAATATGCTCCTACTTTGTTCTCAAAGTTGTACTGGCTCAGGTCTCTGGATTCAGTGGCTCGTCGGTCCCCGTGCGTCAGAGCCCCCTATAAAACACAACACACATTTTAATGTGGATGCATTTCCATTAACAAGCTCTCAAACATCTGACAACATTTTAATCAGCTCTCACAGGATTGTAGAATGGCTACAGAAGCTTAAGTACATATACTTTCAATTTCACAGGTAGTAATGTGCACATGTTTAAGTTCATAAGTTGCAATGATTTTTGCTTGGCTTCAACTGAACTGTATTTTGGGTAGCTTTGCCCATAGTGAAATCTTATTGGTCCAAAATCTTGCAAAACAGCTGGATATTAAGGTGCTTAATGTGATTAAAAGAGGATGATTTAATGAGATAAATATGAGCGCTGCATGTTTCAAAGTCAACGTTCTAGTAAAGACATTACAAAATAAGAGCCTCACCATATTTCAGGCTTGTTTAAGTACCGCATTATGCAGAACAACTATTTTTCTGGTTATTATTGGTATTTTGGTTACACAGTAAACTGTATCTGGCAATTAATTCAATGTTTAAAATGTTAAAAATTCCATAATCTTTAAATAAATAGTTTTAAGCAGAAATATTTAAAAATCTGGTGTACTTTTTGTAAATGTCTCCTCATACCCGTTTATTAAGAGAAAAATAAAGTAAAAGACCGCTTCTTAAACCAGAGAAGCTGAACATGTTGGTATTCTTGTGGAAAAAAAAACATGCAAGTCCTGTCACCGACGGCCAGTTTAGTTTTACTTTTCTTTTTGTTTTCGTTTTAAAAAGCTTGTTATCTTTGCTGTTTACCTCACGTTA